CAATGGGGTTGAGACAAGAGCCGGAACCCAGAGGATGAATTGGGGGAGATTCTCTCTGGAAAAGCACTGTCTGCTCCCGGGCCAAGTGGGGAAAAGCAAGCAGGGAGCTCCCCCTTCACAGAGAGGTCCCCCCACCCCCAGAAAAGACGCAACCCACATGGAGTCCCACCAACCACGTGGCAATTTGCACCCACAACCAACTGGGGAGTGTCATTGCATGTCACTGTTATGAGACCAGCATGAGACAGCACAGCAATGAGGAGCAACCCTACAATAACAACCCAGCCTGTCCACAGCCCAGCGCTCCCCAGCGACCCTACAATAACAACCCACCCTGTCCACAGCCCCAGCGCTCCCCAGCAACCCTACAATAACAACCCAGCCTGTCCGCAGCCCAGCGCTCCCCAGCAACCCTACAATAACAACCCAGCCTGTCCACAGCCCAGCGCTCCCCAGCAACCCTACAATAACAACCCAGCCTGTCCACAGCCCAGCGCTCCCCAGTGACCCTACAATAACAACCCAGCCTGTCCACAGCCCAAGCAGGGTGACATTTCATCCATCCCCCTCCCTCAGGTGACAATTAACCCCTCCCCTGTTGCGCTCTCCGTGGCCGTTGTCGCCTCGCGCCATCGCCCCGGCCGTTTCCCGTCTCTTTTCCTCACTCCCTCGTGCAGCCCCGGCTGACTCTGCCCGGCAACTAGTGACGCTGAGATGCGGCGGCGCCTCCCATTGGCTGCCCTGCTGGAGGAACAGCGCTGGGCGGGAACTGAGGAGGCTGCAGCACCTGTCCACGAGTTCGAGCCCCGAGCCCCTGCCTGGTCTGTGCGAGAGTGAATCCGGCCCCGGGCTCTGCCCGGGCAGTCAGGGCTCCCCATGGCCCCAGGGCGGCGCTAGGGGCTGGGCTGCAGGGAGCGGGGTAGGGGGCAGCAGGGGGCTCTGCCCGGGCAGTCAGGGCTCCCCATGGCCCCAGGGCGGCGCTAGGGGCTGTGCTGCAGGGGGTGGGGCGGGGGGCACCGGGGGCTCTCCCCGGGCAGTCAGGGCTCCCCATTGCCCCAGGGCGGCGCTAGGGGCTGGGCTGCAGGGAGCGGGGAGGGGGGCAGGTGGGGGCTCTGCCCGGGCAGTCAGGGCTGACCCGATGCCCCAGGGCAGCGCGGGGGGCTTTGCGGGGAGCAGCGGTACCGCAGGCTGGAGGAGATGGAGGGGGCGTCACTCACACTTAGGCTGTGGCTACTAAATGGCGTGCAGTGTAGCTGCTGTTTGTGGGCAGGAGAGACGTCTCCTGCCGGCAAAAAACATCCTCCCTCCAGGAGCGGGAGCGGTTTGTCGGCAGGAGACCTGTTCACACCGGTACTTTGCCTGGGTAAAACTTTTGTCGTTCTGAGGTGTTAAAAAAACCCTCCCAAACAACAAAAGTTTTGCCGACAAAGTCCCAGTGTGGACCTAGCCTGAGTCTGCTGGGGTTAGGGCCTGGTCCTTCTGACCTTGCTGCCAGGGATCCCCGTCCCGCGCTGCCCCCGCTCCCCGACTCACTCTGCCCTCATTGGCTCAGGGCTGGCAGCTGCGGGCGCAGGGCTGAGCAGACACAGAGAAAAAGAGAAGTTGACGGTCTGAGAGGCGTGTGGGCTGCGGAGGAACTGAAAGCACCTGGGGATCCTGGGCCCCTCGTCTCGCTGTCCTGACGCCCGCCAGAGCCCGGATCCCCCTTCCCCTGCTGAGATGCTGCTCCCTCTGCTGCTCCTCCCCTGGGCATGGGGGGCCCTGGCTGGTAAGTGGGAACCCCCCCTGCTGGTTTTGCTACCGGGATGCGTGGGGATGGTGTAGTACTAGGGCCACGGTGGGGAAGTACCAGGCTGGGCTAGTGACCCTGGCTGGGGGAGTAGGTCGGGGGAGGCAGGTTAGGGATCAGCAGGGAGACCCCGTAGTGCAGGATTGTTCATGGGACAGAGACTCATTAATCTCTCTCCACACCCGCTTTGTCCTCCACTTGTTTCCTGCCCCAGCCTCCCCTCCTCTCCCACCAGTGTCTGTCACCCTCCGGCTGCTCCAAATCGACGTCTTCCACAACGCCAGCTCCACGGACATGCAGGGGATGGCTCTGCTCGGTGATCTGGAGACCCACTCCATGAACTGCAGCACCTGCGAGATCCACTTCCTGCAGCCCTGGGCCCAGCAGGGCCTGACCCCGAAGCAGTGGCAGGACCTGGAGCTGCTGATCCATCGCTACCTGTTCAACTTCAACCGGACTGTGAACAGAATAGCCCAGCAGCAGGGAAAGGGCTGTGAGTATGGAGCGGTCTGAGGGGATCCCTCCCCCCAGCCACCCGGGGTGCTGAGATCTGACACACTCACCACAGGCACTGAATGTGTCATTGGGAGCAAGACAGCCAGTCCCTGGCCCTTTGGCTGATTGGAGTCGGCGTCCCCCAGAGGGGAAACAACCGTGGCCCATTCTCCACCCCAGAGTCAGCCAGCCAGGTCTGGGGCCAGATTGTAGCCTGAACTTCCTAGAGGGGAAAGGCCCCGCGCCCCACTCCCTGAGCCGAGGCTCCTAGTGTTTCCTGACGTGTACCCTGAGCCTTTGAAAGCAGGTCATTTGGGGGGGTCTGTATCTCAGCAACCCCGTAACCAAGGGGCCCCAAATTTGCAGCACAAACTCTGCCTCAGGCCCCGATGTAACACGGCGATTTTCAAGCCAATCCGACTATGCATGTGAAAAATCAGCTTTAAACAGAAACTGCAACTTACCCCTAACTCCAGCCAGGGCCGCCCCACAATCCTGCCACCGTCGTGTGGCCCAACATCCTGATGGCACCTGACGTTATGTCTTTACTCCCGCCGTCTGTCTATTTCTGCCCCCTCCTGTGACCTCTGGACGCCCGTCCTCATCCCCCTGCCCTTCCTGTTCCAGACCCCTTTGTTACCCAGGTGTCCCTCGGCTGCGAGCTGCCCCCCAATGGCTCCTCGAGGGGATTCTATGACGCCGCGGTGAACGGGGAGGACTTCATCAGCTTCGACATGGACGGAGGCAAATGGGTCGCTCGGCAGGAGGACAATGTGGCTGCGCTCTACACCCGGGACCTTCTCAACCAGGATAAGGGCACAAGAAGCACGATTCAGTTTCTCCTGAGTACGACGTGTGTCAGTGAGCTCAAGAGCTTTGTCCAGCATGGGAACGAGTCTCTGGAGAGGCAAGGTGAGGCTGGACACCACTTGCTGCCATGCAGCCACCTCTGGGGTAGGGTGTGTTTGCTGTTTATACAAGGATCCCGCACCCAGTGCTCATATGCGGCCACCTCTGGATTGAGGCCTGGGGGCTGTTTATACAGGAAGTTCAAATGCAGCTATAGCTGGGGTGCAGCACAGTAGCCATTTCACAGCCGCACTGCACAGCAGTTTAAGACAGGAAGTGAAGGGGGTTCTGTCACCAATGGTAACTGCAGGGGGCAGAATTGGGGTCTGGCCAGGACAGCGGGGC